AACCCAGAAGTAATGGGATTTAAATAAACGTGAAATAAACATGGTTAAGCACTGCTTCCACTGCTGCTGTGAAGGGGGTACTTTTATTTTCTCTTTTAAAATTCATGTTCAAGAAATAAACGATGATGACAAACTGGCCATAGGAAGTAGCCTGCATTTTCTAATGGGCCAGTAAAAATGACAAGAAGGGAACAGCAGTATTAGCAATTACGCTGGCGTATATGACAATCCGGTAGCTGCAAACATTGCCCAAACATGTATATCAAATTATTTATTGTTAAGACCCTTTCTTATATTTTACTCATAGTAAGATCTTTTTTCTTTTTTTAATTAACTAATTTATTTTATTTATTTTTGGCTGCGTTGGGTCTTCATTGCCGTGCGCGGGCTTTCTCTAAGTTGAGGCGAGTAGGGGCTACTCTTTGTTGTGGTGTGCGGGGTTCTCTCATTGCGGTGGCTTCTCTTGTTGCCGAGTATGGGCTCTAGGTTCACGGGCTTCAGTAGTTGTGGCTCGCGGGATCTAGGGCGCAGGCTCAGTAGTTGTGGTGCACGGGCTTAGTTGCTCCAAGGCATGTGGGATCTTCCTGGACCAGGTCTCGAACCCGTGTCCCCTGCACTGGCAGGCGGATTCTTAACCACTGTGCCACCAGGAAAGTCCTGTAAGATCTTTTTATACTTTAGATAATCAAGACTAAGAGTTTGAAAAAAAATTACTGAGGAAAAACATCTCTCAAATGGAAAAACACTGAATGCCACAATGATCTAAGCCTATTGCTAGAGAGAAATTCGAAAACTCCAGGACAATCGGTAAGGTCCTCCCATCAGAACACCGGGGGCAGGAATTGCAGACTTAATCAGTGTTCAGTCACTGCTCTCAGAAAGCAACTGCTTCTTGTGTCTTGCTTTTCAGGGTCCTGGCTTTCCGCCGCTGTAACACTGCTGGGCAAGGGGAAATGCTACCTTGTGCTTTCAAAAGAAAAGAGAACTATAATGAAGGCATAAAATAAGCCACAGGGGAATAACAGCTAGGCATAGAGAGTTCATTAAAATAAAATGCCTTTTTTGATGCCTTATTCAATGCAACAAACGTTATGCCTGTTATTGTCTCCTGCATCCTGTTCGTAATTCACAACCGCAAGTGTTGGGGGCAGGGGTCGTGGAGGCCATCCTGCTTCTTCGTTCAGAGCTTGGTGCCTCTTCTCTCTGGGATCTTAGAGCAGGAAGGGGCATGAGAAGCCACTGGGTCTGAGATTACACCCAGGAGCTGCTGGTTACCAGAGATGCACCTGTGCTTTCTGCTGGAATCCCAACAGCAGAGCACACATCATCACGAGGTTGACAATGACCACTTTAAAACATTCTTTTTCTGCTTATTTAAAATCTGACTTCCTGTAACTTCTTCCTAAGATTTACTTCCTATACGTTAAAAAATGTTATGACGTTCAATGACAAACCTTCAAGTAACCGGAAGTAGCTATCCTGTCTCCTCCTAACCTCTTTTCCATCTTCAACACATTCTTTCTCGAATCATTTCGCATGGGAAGGTTTCAAACTACTCACCATCCTGTAATTCTCTGCTGAATAAGCTTAAGTCGGAGTTCACTGCTATTATCGTTGTTAAACTGGTACCATTTACCAAGAATCTGCTACATCCCAGAGACTGTAAATCAGTTACCTGCTTTAATCTTCTCAATAATGCCTTATTTCACCCCTGTTTTCCTGGTGAGGAAAATGAGGTTCAGAAGATTTAAGAAGTTCCTTGAAATCACACCCCAGTCTGGTGGCTCTGGAGCATGTGTATCACGTGTGAATTACACAAATGGGACCTCCCAGCAGGGGAACGGGGACGACTCACTGCCTTCCACAAACTAGACACTACACTCCCTGGAAGCAGCCTGTGATTTCCAGAACATTCCTGACAGCCACACTGCACTGCTGGTTCCTGCTGGGTTTGTAATCACCTTAAACCCAAAGATGAGTTTCACCCGAACTGTTACTAAGTCTGCCTGGCCCTTCCTCCAAACCTATTTCTGTTTTGCACTTGATCTTTAAAAACAGAGAGAAGTTTTACCTCCCCTCCTGCTAAATGTTATCTTGCTACTTTGCTTCAGTGTCCACACCATCCATTTAAGAAACCTGGGTTCTGACACATGGGCTGTTCCTTACTTCTAAAGCCCTTATCACTTAAAAAAGTTGTCGAGCTGTTTTTGCATGTGTGTTGTGCCTTCACCCAAGATTCAGTTAACAACTCGGTTTTGAGGAGAGTAAAGGCTGAAGGACACCTTCTCTAGGACAATGTTTTTCAACCTCTGTTTACCTGCTAGACCCCGTGTACCTCGCCAGCAAAGCTTTACTTTTCACAGTTTGTATCTGAAAGCAGAGGCATTTTGTTTTTGTTTTGTTTTGTTTCTTTTGGTGCGTTGGGTCTTCGTTGCTGTGTGCGGGTTTTCTCTAGTTGCAGCGAGCGGGGGCTACTCTTTGTTGCGGTGTGCGGGCTTCTCATTGCAGTGGCTTCTCTGGTTGCGGAGCATGGGCCCTAGGCGCACGGGCTTCAGCAGCTGTGGCACGCGGGCTCAACAGTTGTGGCTCGTGGGCTCTAGAGCACAGGCTCAGCAGTTGTGGCGCACGGGCTTAGTTGCTCCACGGCATGTGGTATCTTCCCGGCCCAGGGATTGAACCCGTGTCCCCTGAATTGGCAGGTGGATTCTTAACCACTGCGCCACCAGGGAAGTCCAGCATTTTGAATCTGCTTTTTCAACTAGCATCTCATTACCACCTTGAGAACCACGTCGCCGATTCACGACCCATTTTTCTTATCCAGCTAGTAGGTGACACACAAACCCATTTCACTTTAGCATCTCCATGTTTCTCCATCTTCTCCATGGCTGTCAGGATGTCAGTAGCGGCCACACCTTCTTCTGCTGTGACACTGAGAATATTCTGCTGACAAGGATTTGTGTGTCCCAGAAAAAAAGTTACTCTTAAGAATCTGTCCAATTCATAAAAATACCTTATTATAAAAGAAAATAGCTGACCAACATTGCCATGCCACTCACAATCTTCACAGAGACGTTAAAAGTAACACTGAATGGTACCCAGAGTTAATTACAAACCAAAAATGCTGTACTGAAAAACACAGATTAGCTGGAATGAATCTGAAGCATGGGATATAAAATAAATTTAGCAAAAGGATCGGCGTGACGTGCACTGGGGTCAGCCCTGAGGCATTTATTCTCCCTACAGGAAACACTACCAACTTTCTTCTAGACTGTTCTTTAGAAAACTCTGGTAGTCGTGACTGGAGGACTGCCAGGGAACCCTATTTATCCCATTCCATAAACACAATCGGTAGAAAGACTTGCCTCCAAGTTAAGGAAAATAGCTCCTCTTGACTTCGATGAATTTTTCCGGAAGGGAGATCCACACTGGAAAAATGCAACCTCGCTAAAGGTTACAGAAGTGCTTTAGGCTTCATAGTAAAACCCAGGTAAAAGTGTATTATCGGATCTTCTCATTTCCAGAATAAACATCTAAATCAATAATCGAACACCTTGGGCTAAGAAATTAGCCAAAATCAGAGCCAGCGAAATGCAAGAAATGGACCTGTGCATTGCAAACCTGAGAACATATATTTTATTCCCTGTAGCAACCCACTAATATTTGTCAGGTTATAGGATAATAAAAATTCTCTAAATTAATATATGGTAGACTGAATCTCTTTTGATCTAAGAGTTTATCTAAAACTTTTTTTCTACGTCCCTGCAATCTGTAATAATTTGATGACCCACCCCCACCCTAAATGACGTTATCAACATGAAATGGATTTGAATCTTCTGTTCCAAGAAAAGCACTGGTGCATGAGTGCATTATGCAAACTATAAGGAATGAAACAGGGGCTGTAGGCAGAGAAAGAGGAGACAAATGAACGTGGACCATGGGGGATCAGGTGGGCTTGCTGCTGGCTGTGTCTTGAGAAAAGAGAAACGGAAATGCATGACCACACACAGATGTACGCTGGCTGCGGAGCCAGCAGATTCTCAGCACCCTGGGCAGAAGAGGGGACCAGTGGAGGCATGTGGTGGGCAGGGCTGGCACAGAGGGATGTGCGATGCCCATGTAGGACCAAGGGCAAGGGGATGGAGGCAGGAGAGTAGCTCTCTGAATGAAAATATTCAATCTGAAATGGAATCAACTTGAAAAAAGAGCAAGCTGCTCCCTCCCAGCTCGGGGGAAAAGATGCGGTAGGTGGTGGACAGGGCAGGCCTGATTCTCCGGCCAGAGTTCACGCCCGGCCTGTGTCCCCGTGATGGTGGTTGTGTCAACAACCATCCATTGCCGCCACTCTCAACAGCCTGTGTCGCTCTCACTTGTTAACTTGGTCTGGCCAAACATCTCTGACAAAAGTCATTCACCTGCCCCTTCTCTCAGAAGAATTTTTGTTTTCTTTACAAAAAAACACAGAGGAGCACACCCCTTTACACTCGAGCTGCAACGCCGACCGCCACGTGCATTTTAAAAACTACCCATTCTCCAAGCAAGAAAAGGACATTCACAGTTCAAATCATCCTACCACTCCTGTATACAGAAATCTCCAAGTTTCTACCAATTAACAACTTGGCCGTAAGTTACGCAAACAGAAAAGGTAAAATTCATTTCAATGTTAGCTCATAGTCAGGATATTAAAGAACACTTGATTTTTAAGGCCTCCAAAATGTTTTTCCTACCATGGAAAGTATTAGAGATTTCTTCTTTCTTTCTTTTTTTTTTTTTTAAAAGAAGACCACATTTTTCTCTCGATTGTAACATTTTGGGGACTTTATAAGTATTTTCAGTAATTTGATCCTCTGTGAGAGACTTCGGAAATAATTTTGTGATTAGAAACTGGGTCTGAGTAATTTTCCAGAGTTCTGGAAAAAACAAAGAGGCATCTTGTATGCTTTACAGCAATATTTCCCAGCTCTCAATATCTGGAACAAAAAAGTTTTAAAATATACATTTACCTCTACATCGCAGGTATATTCTGATCCATCCAGGAGTATCACTTTGCACTGCATGCTTTTAGGCTTTTTGACAATCTTTAATGGAGATCGAGAGAGTTTGCTGCTAGATGATTTCTGAGAAAGTTTATCGTCTTCAAATTGCTGATATTCGGGCTGTTTGGCAGGTTCGGCGGCAAACTCCTGGTCCTTGTCAGCGACCTGCAAAGAACAAACAATGGACAGTTTTCATTGCAAGACAGGAAATAAATATTGCATTGCTCAGGCAATAACAGAACACTTTAGAAACAGGCTTTCCTATTTCCTAAAGGATGAGGGATGTCTGAATTAGGATATTAGGAATGGATATACATATACAAATACTTATAATGCTAACAGTTACACTTAAGTAACTTCTGCAGTCTAAATGTACCCATAGGGCCTTATTTCAGTTTGACTCAAGGATTTACATTAGCAGTGCTAAGTTCTTAGCAAATGCCATCAAGATTCCACTAAGCAAAGGAGGGTACAAAAATGGGCTCCTGACTTTTTAAAAAGGCATCGGCTTTCACAGACATAGTGAGAAGACTTATGGTTACTGGAGGGGAAAGGGTGGTAGAAGGATAGATTAGGAATTTGGGATTAATGAATATACACTACTATATATAAAACAGATAAACAAGGACCTGCTGTATAGCACAGGGAACTATATTATCTATAGTAACCTATAATGGAAAAGAATCGTAAAAGGAATATGTATATACATGTATAAGTGAATCACTTTGCTGTACACCTGAAACTAACACAGCATTTATACTTCAATTGGAAAAAAAAAAAAAAGGCACTGGGTAATATAAGCTTTAAAAACAAATAAAGCATCTAAGATTTAACCTAATATATTCTGCTTCTTTCATTCACTGGATCCTCCTTTATTCCATGACCCATAACTGTCCCATAAACATACAAGGTATCTTATAAATTGTAAGGCCTACACAGCTTCAAGTATTAATCTTCTCAGTAATTTTACAACTGTTAAAGTATTTGATTTAGCTCTAACTCAATTCAATGAAGCCAGCAGCACTGAAATTCACTACAAAGTAATCCCTTAAGTCTGCTTCCCCCTTCACTGTAATGAGCTAGTATAAGAACAGATCAAATCTGTCCAAAAGCTTTAATCTGCTTTCAGATCACAACAGTCCAGTCCCAGCTAGACTCAGAACTGCAGAGGACATCCTATGAACAATAAAGTCCTCCCCTCAGTCAGTCCCCTTGGCAGTCTCCCTGTGCACTCCTCTCCAACAACTCTCTTTCTGCCCTTTTTCTATGTATTAAATGACCATCAACGCACATTCAACCCAAGGGCCAGACCACGGCTTCCATGGTCTGCAAATACACTCTGAAAGTCCAAAGGAAGATATGTTTTGAAACTCAGTTTGGGCCCCTTACATAAGCACGAAATTTCCTCTCTCATGAATATACCACCACCCTGGTGGCTAAAGTTCATGGGCTGGAGAGTAAGACCATATTGAGAGTTGCAGCTTTCTCAAGGTCACCAAACTAGTCAACTGGAATTCAGATCCAGCCAAAGCCCACGCTTTTATCATCACGAGATACCAAAGCACACTTCATTCTACCTCGAACATAACTGGGCACCCGGTGTGAATCAGAGAATCTGAGAGTGGAAGAATCTTAGAAAATTATCTTTTCTGATCTCTTCGTTCTGTAAATGAGTAAGCTGAGGTCCAGAGGACTCGAAAGAGTTCTGACACCACTGAGATAACCAGCGGGGAGGCAGGGCTAAAGTCTCGTGACTCTGCCGCCAGTCACCTTCCCCTCCGGTGGCTTCGAGTCACTCCTCTTTAGTTTCAAACGTCTGACTACAGAAAGTCAATCCATTTATTAAATACACATGTCTAACTGTGTCTGGGTATGGAAACTCTTCCTTCTCTCCAATTTCCCCCACTTTCACGTTTCATTTCAGAGTTAAGAGGAAAGAAGAGAGAAAAATCCAGTCTAGTAACTTTAAATTTCTGAAGATCTGAAAATTAACAAACCAAACACTACCACCATCACGTCTCCACAAAAAGAAAGGATAAAGGAAACCCATGATGACCTGTTCCTTTGATTCTGCTTGACAGGTTGAAGAATAACCCCCAGCTCCCTGCACAAAATGTCTGAGATCAGACAAAGCATCTATTTACAGAGCATGAAAATAAACATTACTCCTTATACCATTTAAAAGCGGAACTTAAATACCACGGGAAAAGAAAGAAAATAATCAGGCTGTAAACACATAGTAGTTTAAGGCTATACCAATGTGTTGTGTTTTCCAAAGACATGCCACTTCCTTCATGTCTCTTAATATCTTCTAGAATTTCTGGCTTGACACAAATACTTCCAACCTGTAAGAGGTCAACCACGTGTAGGGACT